TAACTTAACCATCCAGGGGAGCAGTTCTTTTCAGGTGGGGAAGAGTTAACCTGGGGTAGACAGAGCAAGATGCTGGCAGAAGGGACATGGGGACAAAGTCACCAAAATGAGAAAGTGCTTGCAGCATGTGAAGAATGACAAGCAATTTGGCGTTGTTGGAGCATGACTGCCGGGGCCAGGCTGAGCTGTGCTGGGGAGCAAGACAGGCTGAGCCCAGGCATTCTGCAGGGCCCCACAGACACGGGGACAGAGCAACCCCTGGCCCTCCCCTGATCCTGGAGCAGTGACCAAGAGTCCAGCCCCACCCCATCACCATGTGGAGCAGCAGGCAGTCACCAGGCAAATGTGGATGAGTCCCCAGCAAGACAGGTAGCTCCAGAGGCAGGAGAGGTGTCAAGCTGCGTGTCCCAAGAAAGGAGAGGGAGGACAGATGTCCAGTGTGAGGGACAGACAGCATGGCAGGCAGGAGTGAGGGCAGTGGCTGATAAGAATTCGGAAGGAATGCAGAGGAAAGGGATGGCCTAGCTAGCTCAAGAGCCTTCAGTTTCACGTGTATAGAGTCTTCGGGTGGGGCTGGAACCTTCTTTCTTAGCTGGGCATGCTGGACCCCCCACAGACAGCCTCCAGGCTGCACAGGTGCTGTGGTTATCATCTACATCTAAGATGAGTGGTGATAACCCCCTTCTTGTTTGTTTTGAGAGGAAGGCTCTGGTCTATACCCACTGTCTCCTCGGTGTCCTGCACTTTCTCTACCTTCAAGGTCCCTGGGGTCCCTCGGAGCTTATTTGTCAGGCACTTCCTGGGAGAGGAAGACAGGTTTGTGTCAACAGAGTTCCCTCCATGAAGAAAGGATTGCTTCCATGCCTAGAGGGCTAGGAAGCAGTGAATGACAGTGACAGGGCCCCACCCTGTCTCTTCCTGAGAGGCACCCAGTGTCAGGCATCACCTGCTCATGTGTATCCCGGGGACTCAGTGATCAGGGTAGGGCAATCACTGGCCCTGCTGGGGGCGGGCATAACCCACAGCATCTCTCAGCAGGCTCAGCTTACTTCCGCCTGTCTTCTCTCCTGAATGGGGCACAAGAAGGGAGTGGTGAGCTAGTCTGCATCTCAGCCCTGGGACCTGCCTGGTGATCTTGGGACTATGGTATAATCTCCCTGGAGCCTACATTCCTCATGTGTATACCAAATGTTGCAGACAGCTTCCGTGTGTTACCCAGCTGAGAACACAAACAGACATCCAATGAGGCACGGATGTCCTGTAAGTGACCACACTCAGACCCTGCAACTGCTCTTGGCCCAGGCACATCCAGCCCTTCCCTGGACCCCAGTTTCACTAGTGGTCCCAGGCTTCATCTAGTGCTGAGGTACCCAAACTGAGGCCCCCCACAGGGGCTATGAAGTGGAAATTTGCCGGCAAGGGCTTCGAGGAAAAGGGTGTGGCCACTGCTGGCCTTGGGCAAACCGGGAAGGGAGACAGCCTAGACCCTTCCACCCTCTACAGCC